CAACGACAACGACAACGTCAACGACAACAACGACAACGACGACAACGACAACGACAACGACAACGACAACGACAACGACAACGACAACAACAACAACAACAACAACAACAACAACACCAACAACAACTACAACAAGAACAAGAACAAGAACAAGAACAAGAACAATAACAAGAACAAGAACAAGAACAAGAACAAGAACAAGAACAATAACAAGAACAAGAACAAGAACAAGAACAAGAACAACAACGACAACGACAACAACAACAACAACAACAACGAAAACAAAGAAACAAACTTTACTTGACCAGCCTAGACCCTAAATCCTCACTAAACCCTAAACCCTAAAACCCTAATTCACATTAAAAAAAAAAAACAAACGTCGTCTCCTTCCACTCCCCGGGCCCATCGGCCCGGAAGTTCGTCGCGAAGTCCAGCTCCTGGCATGCAGAATCTTGGACAATGCGGTTTAGGGTTTTGGAGTTTAGGGTTCAGGGTTTTGTGGTTTAGGGTTTTGGAGTTTAGGGTTCACGGTTTAGGGTTCAGGACTTAGGGATTAGGAGTTTAAGGTTTAGGGTTTCGGATTTCAGGTTTAGGCGGTTTAGGGTTTAGGGGTTTGCAAAGGATCCTTTAAGGGATCCTTCAGGGGTTCCTTGAAGGGCTTTGGGTTTCGGATTCAGGTAGTTCTCTAAATTAGTGTCCCTTTTAGGGTCCTTCTTATAGGCCTATATCGGGACCCTAATTTAGAGAACTACCCATTTAGGGGTTTGGGGTTTAGGGAGGGCCCTGAGACCTAAGATTGTAGAGAAGGTCTGTGGGATCAGGGGCGCAACACAGGGGCGGTTGTGTTTCAGAGTAGCGTTTTGGTCTACAGTGAATCCCAGAAAGTTGGAAAATGGTTTTTGGATGAATAGTGCTGAGATCCCCTATACTTTACCTTAAGGGCCATGAGGATAATGATGTTCCAACTTTCTGGCTTCTACTATAGGGTTGAGGGGTCTTCACAATAAGGAAAGGATTTGGTGTTTCCAGGGCGTACGGCTTCTGAGGTTTGACGCCTTCTAGGTTCAGGGCCTTCGGGTTTACGGCTGGGTATCAACGTTGCTATTGAAAAACGATCCCTTTTACACTGTGCGCGAGTGTGCTCGTCCGTTGTTGGACGCTCGTCTTCTGAATGGACTGTAGCATACAGTTGTGCATGATGAGTTGAGGGATTCCGTGCTAGAGTTGAGGGCTTAGGGTTTGGGACTTTAGGTGCTTGGAGTTGAGGATGTGCAGGGGTCCTTGTAGACAGAGTAGATGCAATTGCCACCCAAGTCCAAGAAGAAGATGTCGTAGAAGTTGCGCTCGTACAGGATGGCTCGGTACCTGGACAGCCGTGCCGCTGGACCCTACAACGCGAAATCCTGAAACCCTGAACCCGAAACCCTAGATCCTAAAACACATTGCCAGTCTGAACCTTGGCAAGCACCACATGTAATGAGTTCTGCAGCTGAATCTCGGTAGTTTCTAAATTAGAGTCTCTTTGGGGGTCCCCAACGTACTACGTTACCCTTATGAAAAGAACCCCAAAAAGGGGACCGTAATGTAGAGCACTACCCATTTAACAGAGACCACAACACAAAAGGAGCAGTCTAAACCGTCCCCAAGCGCCACATAGTCAAAAGCTAATCCTTCAAAGCCGAATTCTGGGGTTTAGCGTTTAGGGTTTAGACCTAATACTTCGAGACCCACAAGCCAGACGATGCCGAGTCGCGTGGGGTGGTACTGGGCGTGCACCTGGTACACCCTCACCGTAAATCCCCCTAACATTAATCATTACCTCGCCCCTAAACCCTAAATCCTAAACCCCTAAACCCTAGACCCTGAACCCTAAACCCTTAAAGCCCAAAGCCATAAGCCGAGGCCCAGGGACGTTGAAGAAGCCTAAACCGTAAACCCTAAACCGCATCTTCTAGTTTAGGGTTTCTGTTCAGAGGCCTCCTTTCAGACGCTCCCTTGCTTTTAAAGGTTTTATAGAGGACCTAACGTAGGGGCCTCAATGAGAAGAATAGGATTTCGGGGGCTCCTTATTATAATTATAGTATGATATACCCCAAACCCCATTCTAGTTAGTTGTTGAGGCCCCTATATTATAGAGGCTTCGATTTTAAGGCTCGGGGTTCGGGCTCCCGGTTTCTAGATGCTTTTGTTGAGGTTTCTCATCCTGAGAGAAGTTGTTTAAGTAAGAGAACAGTTAACCATGAAGTAGGTTACTGGGTAACCATGACGTAGGTCACAGCGTTACGGTTGCCTTAAATTGTTTTCGGAGGTTGCAGGAGAAATCATATAGATGTCTGCGTAATTAAACATACTGTCCCCATGTATGTCCGACAATCCTGTTCTCATTCTTCAGACCCCTCTTCAACGCACCCACTAAGATGAACCAAAAGCATGGCCAGGTCCAGGGATTTTGAGGTTCAATATAGGGCCTTGATAATTAGAATAAGGATTTGGGGCCGATTATAATATCAATATAATGAGAAGCCCGCACAATTTTATAGGTAAGCATTTAGGCCCCTACAATTAGGGTTTGGAGTTTCGGGTTTCTCCCGCCTTGTGGTACTCCTCCGGGCCGTCTGCAGCATCCAACTGGTCCTGCCCAGGGGCTGGGGGCAAAGCTCACACACTGAAATCGACATCCGGACCCGTTGGGGTTTCGTGCGTTTTTTGAAACTCCGGGCTAGGTCTTGAGTCGCCTTAGCATTAACCCTAAACCCCAAACCCTAAACCCTAAACTTGCAACCGCCTTGCATCCTTATCCAGGACGGGGATCCATCAATCCGAAGACAGTCGCCTTGAACCCTAGATCTCTAAATTAAAGGATATTACAAGTGGGGAGTTCAGGGTATATAGGGCTTCTACAAAGCTTCTATAAGGTATATAGACCTTCTTTAAGGCTCCTGTGACGGTAGCTACCCACCTGAAAATGTCCTAGACTAAACCCCAAAACCC